CAAGTTCGTTCTAGACACACCGATGTGCGGCACTCGCGAAACGGACATGTTTTTATGTCTCTATTTCAATGTTATTTTTTTCTGCATAAAAACGCAACTAATAAAATGAAATAACTATGTATACAGGAAAGAGGACATGTGTCCGAATGTCTAGCAACTGTTTTCAATCAGCCATTTATATTCCAAACTAGATTGCTTTTGAATGAAATTATAGATTGTTTTTAACAGATAAGGAGAACATGACAAAATTAAAGGTAAGAAGCATGCAAGTGAGAAACTTTAAAAGAGAAAGAATAAGTTACAAAAAGGAAAACATTAAGAAGAAATAAGATAACGTTTGGTACACTGAGGATCAGGGTGATAGATCAAAGTAGACTTTGCTATTTTTATGTATAGAATCACTTCTTGAAGAGTTGACCAGAGTGCAGAGCCAGTAGTCTGAATAGTCAAAGGTAAGTCTGTTTAACGAAGAGTTGGTGAACTTAGGCATTCACTAAATTTAATAAGGATTTTGAAATTAGAGTGACCCGAATGGAGATGAAGCAATATAAAAGCATTAAGACAGAAATTTACATATTCCGATATACAAGGACGGAGAGAGAGCCCAGATCTGAGATAGACAAATATAATGTTAGGTAGATATTAACAGACTGAGATAGATAGATAGATAGATAGATAGATAGATAGATAGATAGATAGATAGATAGATAGATAGAAGATTGAACATTATGAAATAGTGAATATTATATGATAGATGGTGAATATTATATGATAGATAGATAGATAGGTAATCAGCATAGAATAGAATAAGATATAAGATAGAGATAGATAGATAGATAGATAGATAGATAGATAGATAGATAGATAATCAGCATAGAATAAAATAGATAGATAGATAGTGAACATTATGAAATAGTGAATATTATAAGATATATGGTGAATATTATATGATAGATAGATAGGTAATCAGCATAGAATAGATATAAACTAAGATAGATAGATAGATAGATAGATAGATAGATAGATAGATAGATAGTGAACATTATGAAATAGTGAATATTATAAGATAGATGGTGAATATTATATGATACATAGATAGATAATCAGCATAGAATAAATAGATAGATAGATAGTGAACATTATGAAATAGTGAATATTATAAGATAAATAGTTAATATTATATGATAGATAGATAGATAGATAGATAGATTAAATCAGAATAACATAACTAAATACTGAGATACAAAGAAAGAAAGTGCTTAAATATCAAAGATCCCACTACATTATTAGTAAACAAACCATATTCGTTGATCATTGCTACTAACGTGTCAATGTTCAACCTTTGCTGAATGCTACACAATCGGGTCAGAGACTCAATTGCGATCGATTTTGACTGGAGGTTCTTTTTAACCCTGATCCTGTGGGTCAGTTGACAAAACGTGATGCAACTCTTAAGTTCTTCAAGTCCATTTTACATTTACGTTTGGAGATCGTGAATATCGAAAATGTCTTCCTCGCTTGAAAATCAACGTTTTCTTGATGCAACAGTAGGTGAGGCTTGAAACACCAGTCCTCCTACGATCACACAAGTTAAGCAATATCGAGTTTAGTCAGTACCTAGATGGGTGAATGTTTTGGAATGCCAGGTGCTTTAAGCTTGGGTGTGCAGATGGTGAAATAAAGAACGGCTTAGATTTCAAAATCAGAGAACCAAGTTCTAATTCCAGTCGAACTCGTCCTATTTACTTACGCGAAACTAGAAAATCTTTTCTCCCTCCCAGATAGAGGTTAAATTGTAGGAGTTGTATCGCTAAATTATTGATCTCGTCCAAAAATGCTTACAATCCAAAAAAAAAAAAGAATTCTGGCTTTAAATATTTTGTAAAAGAATTGATAAACCTTAAAAAAGCAAATTAACTAATAAATAATCAAGCATCCTCATGTAAATAGGAAACAAACAATTATTCCATCTAAAAATGAAATATATACGGTATTTACCCGAGATACCCCACAAAGGGGCACAAGGTCAGTTTAACATGGGGCCTTCCGACCGCGTACGCTCGGGTAAAACTTACCCGTATACACCACATACACGGGGGTCTGAAGGCATAGCCTAATCTGAGTTCGTCTCCGCCCCAAAGCAAAGACGGCAGGCTGAGCTTGAAAAGATTGCAATTGCTTTAAAAGTGATCTTTATACTTTATCTAGAAATAACTTCTCAGAGCAAAATTATATATATATTTTATGTTTAACGTTGTTATTTATAGATAAAAATGTCTTTAATAAATAAATTGTCGGACCTTGTCCATTTCTTAATATATGACGTCATTTGTTTACATTTGATACACCAGAGCAGTTATGAATGTACGAGATTCAGAGAAGATTGAAGTTTATAAGCAGTAAATTCGAACGCCTACCGAACGATTCTTTGTGGCCGAGACGGTTAAGGCACGTCAGCGTAAATGACGGTTCCGTATAGGATGCAGGTTCGAATCCTGTCAAAGAACGAAAAGAAAACGACATCCATGCCGGTAAATGTTATTTAATACTGTTTATCATAAACAGAGCATTTGCTTAAATACTTGTATCTATAAATAACAACGTTAAACATAAAAATGTCTTTAATAAAAATATATATATATAATTAATATTTCGAATGAATATGCTTATAAAGCTGAGTAATTTTCAAGGTCAGTTATTCTCAAAAATTTCGCTTGAGGATGAAACAGAGTTTTTGGCTCTTGATTTCAAAATGACTCTTATGTAGATGGAATCCTATTTTTTTTAAATATATATATATATATATATATATATATATATATATATATATATATATATATATATATATATACTTTAAATTAATTTTTTTTGCATAAAATTAATTTTTTTTTTATATATATATATATATATATATATATATATATATATATATATATATATATATATATATATATATATATATATATATATATATATATATATATATATATATATATATATACCACTAGATTTTGGGGCTTCCGGCCATATCACGTTAAAACACCAGTTGCCGTTCCGACCGCTTGAGAATATCAGATGTTGTAAGCTAGGATGTGCGGGTGGTGTAATCAATATTGACTCGGAATTGATAAGAGGAAAGCCGAGTTCTAGTTCCCCTTTGTTCTGTTATATTTAGCTACAGGCAAAAACCCCGAGATAGAAAGCTAATGAACAGTCTTAGATAGATAATTGAAGAGTCTGAAAGACATATTTATAAGTCCTACTAATTAAACCTATAGCTGCCGGGGGGTGGGAGAGAAGATGTAGGTTCATAACTCTGAAAAGGTATTTGTGCATATGTGGAACGCGACTGAAATTGGAACACGGCTCTCCTATTTCCACTTCCAGGCCGTTAGCAATTACACACCCGCGCATCCAAGCTGACAAAACCTGCAATTTTCAAGCGGTCACCCACCTTGGTACTGATCAGTTTCGACGTTGCTTAACTTCGGTGATATCACAAGAACACGTATTTCAACGTGATCTTATTGTAAGGCTAAAGGAAAGACGATCCGACATATTAATAAGGTATCCAAGTAGAAATGGTCATTACTTTCTGTCAATGAGATCAAAACAATGAAAATCTGGTTGAATATGAGACTCTGTTGTTAGTTACTAAATTCCTAAATAACTTTTGAGCATTTTTTGTTCTAGTTCCACAATATGAGTTCTGGTAAAAACATGATGATAACAGCAAAAATTGCAATATGAGCACTGTTAAAAAAATAATTGCTGAAGACATTAGGTTTATAAGTCCCAGAATTTCATGCGCAGATGTTCTCAAGGACACTTGGCACAGTGGATAAAGGCGTTAGTTAGATAGCGTGACAGGACCCAAAGAGTATGAGTTCAATACCTGGTTAAGGCGGTGAAGAACTTGAAGAGGTGAAATAATGGGAGGTAACTTCAGGGTTCAGTTCGACATGGCACGTTGAACTAGAACAGTCTATCCCAGCGAAGCGAAATAAGGGGTTCAGTTCGACATTCCAACCACCCGAGGAAGCGTCGAAACATTGCGATAAATATGACAACAAAGATGAGGACAATAGTTTGATTATTTTATTTTTCTTTCCACTGTGCCATGTGTCCTTGAAGTTGGAGAGGGGAATTAACAGGAGATAACTGATAACTGACATCCATCAGACTAGAACAGCGAGCGAAATAAAGGGTTCAGTTCGACATTCCAACCACCTGAAGAAGACTGAAGCGTACAACGGTCGAAACGTTGTGATAAATATGACAACAAAGATGGGGACCATAGTACAAAGAATTTTATTTTCTTTATCTTTCATTTTTCTTTCCACTGTGGCATGTGTCCTTGAACTTGGAGAGGGGAATTAACAGGAGATAACTGGCAACTGGCATCCATTAGACATGACACGTGGAACTAGAACAGTCTACCCCAGGGAGCGAAATAAAGGGTTCAGTTCGACATTCCAACCACCTGAAGAAGGCCGGAGCGTGCAACAACCGAAATGTGATAAATATGGCAATACAGATGAGGACAATAGCCCGAACAATGTAAATAGTGTACTTCTCTTATATTTGATAACAAAGACAAATTGTTAAAATACTGGTAACTTACTCATATTTACCACACTCCCACCTGTCTGAAATGTTAGTTATCAAATTATTTTCTTTACAAGTTAAAGAAATCTTATTTTTTCGTATTTAAGGCATTTGGATTCAACAGACAAAATAGTTGTTTTGACAAGATTCCAACCAAAAATGTATATTATGGCGTAGTAGGAATATAGATGTAAAAGTCAGAGGTCTGAGATGGAGTCAGGAAATGTGAGGACAAAGTTCAGAGACAGACGTCCTCTCAGCTCTTTTTGGCCGAGGGTTATCGTGTGGAAGCAACAGACAATTTGGAATCATGCCGCAGAAAGTCTGGTCTTTCTGCTTTCATAGGTCTTCGATCATCGAAAATGGTTTATCGAACATGAAAAAAGATTATCTTAAGGAAGAGTTTTAAAAGCATAGAAATCAGGAAAGAAAGAAAGAAAGAAAGAAAGAAAGAAAGAACAGGACGATAAGTATCTTAAAGAAAAGAGGGGAAAATTGTTATATGTATTAAAAAGAAAGAAAGAAAGAAAAAATGAGAGAAAAAAGTAATAAGTATTTAAAAGAAAGAGACTAATAGTGATAAGTATTTTTTTAAAAGATAGAGAAAAACAGAGTAATAAGTATTTTAAAGAAAAAGTAAGAAAAAAGAAGGAAAGAAAGAAAAACAGAGCGATAAGTGACTCTAAAGAAAAAGATAGGAAAAGAGTGATAAGTATTAGAAAGAAAGAAAGAAAGAAAGAAAGAAAGAAAAAATGAAAGAAAGAAAGACAAATGAAAGAAAGAATGAAAGAAAGAATAATGAAAGAAAAACAGTAATAATTATGTTAAAGAAAGAGAAAGAAAGAAACTGTAATAAGTATTTTTTTAAAAAGGATACAGAAAAACAGAGTAATAAGTATTTAAAGAAAATGAAAGAAGAAAAGAAAGAAAAAGTAATAAATACTGAAGGAAGGAAGGGAGGAAGGAAGGAAAGGAAAGAAAGAAAGAAAGAAAGAAAGAAAAAAAAAAAAAAAAAAACAGTAATAAGAATTTTAAAAAAAAGAGAATGAAGGAGACAAGCAGTAATAAGTATTTTTTTTTAAAAAAAGGATAGAGAAAAACAGACAAAGAAAAAGAAAGAAAAAAGAAAGAGAAAGAAATTAATAGTGGAAGAAAGAAAGAAAGAAAGAAAGAAAGAAAGAAAGAATGAAAGAAAGAAAGGAAGAAAGAAAGAAAGAAAGAAAGAAAGACAGGAAGAAAGAAAGAAAAAAGAAAGCAAGAAAGACAGGAAAAAAAAAAAGAAAAAAAAAGAAAGAAAGAAAAGAAAGAAAGAAAAAAAAAGAAAAGAAAAAAAAAGCAAAAAGAAAAGAAAAAAAGCAAAAAAAAAAAGCAAGAAAGAAAGAAAGAAAGCAAGCAGTAATAAGTATTTTTTTTTAAAAGATAGAGAAAAACAGACTAAGTATTTTAAAGAAAAAGAAAGAAAAAAGAAAGAAAAAGAAATTAATAGTGAAAGAAAGAAAGAAAGGAAGGAAGGAAGAAAGAAAGAAAGCAAGCAAGCAAGAAAGAAAGAAAGAAAGAAAGAAAGAAAGAAAGAAAGAAAGAAAGAAAGGAATAAAGAAAGCAAGAAAGAAAGAAAGAAAGAAAGGAAGAAAGAAAGCAAGAAAGAAATAAAGAAAGCAAAAAAATCTTATATTTTATTGTCCATCTAGGTTCATTGACTCTAGGTTCATCATTTCAGGATATTCAATTAAGAAGCTTGAAAAAAATAAGTTATCTTCATTATTTTTACTCTGACCTCAAGTGACACCACGTCTTCATCTTCATCTGTTCCATAACCCGGTGTAGTCATTATGCTATCTCCTAACCATCTTCCTCCATATGTCTTGGTTGCGTGCTAATGTCTGATTGTTTGATTGATTTATTTTTTACAGATTATCAACCTTTTGCAGTTTATTTAAAGCGATAAAATATTTTAGATTGTAACAATTTTTTGGAGATAATAATAATTTACTGATACAATTTATACTAATTAACCCATATCTTAGAAGAGTTAGATTCATACTTTTTTTTCCCAATGGTATTTGCTTGTATGTATAAATATTTTTTGTATTTTTCTTAATGCATCAGCTACCAAGGATCCCTTCAATAAGTCTATCGGAACCTTTTCCAATCAATCCTAAAAGTGGAATTATTGATCTCCTTATGTGCCACATTTTTTAGATATCCACTTCAAGGTATTAGGATTTTGATAGTTTTTTTTAAGATCTTCAAAGATACATTACAATTATAAAATCCCATAAAATTTTTACAGTTCTTATCTCTGTAACCGGGTCTGGTTGATATTCATGCAACTTTCTTTCCTGTAAAAGTTGCATATTTTTCACTGCAGATATTTGCCCATTTTATCATGCCCAATTTCTCCATTTCAGATAAACACAATTTTTCATTATGTCTGATGAGCAATTTCTAATTAGCAAGCATTGGTTCTATGCAGTAATAATAAAACCTTCGGTTTCAGCTCTTAACCTTATAGTACGTAACCGATGATTGATCTGGGGTTTGTCGATATCAGCTTCTTTGGTACTGACAGAGTATTGACCTAGAAGAGGATTATCTTGCCATTGTTTTTTGAATTTGGTACATTACATTTGGCTTTGCTTTCTTTCATGGTCCTTTGCTGCTTCAGTAGTTGCAATATTATTTGCATTTCTTCATCCATTTGAAATTCCATTCTTTATCTTCTTCTTCTTCTTCTTCTTATTATTATTATTATTATTATTATAAAGTTAAAAATAGTTGTAGTTCATTTAGCTCACTATTTATCAAGGTTATATGATCTGCATATATCCGCATACCGGCATATTTGATCCCTGATAAAGAAATCTCATTACGCTCCCCGTCCACCATTAATAGGGATAATATTTCTCTATTTAGATACCCTCTTTACATAATTTTATTGTTATTATTATTATTATTATTATTATTATTTTCTTTGATTTCTGGCGTTTACACATTTCTTTCCGGGCCCCGCCCAGGGACCTAAGGTTAGAAATGGCGTCATGACACTTTCCACTGACAAAAAAAAATTAAAAAATTAAATTACATAGATAAAGCCCTTCGTAAAGTGTGGGCTGTACTTGTCAGAACAATTTTTTGTATCTCTTTGAGGCATGGACTTCCGGGAATCCCTTCAATTAGTCTACTGCAATCTTTTCCAACCAGTCCTAGGGCTCCAACTACAACAGGGATTGTTGATGTTCCCATATGCCACATTTTATTATTATTATTATTATTGCGTGAAAGTACAGCCTATCAACGAAGTAACACTATAGTAAAATAAACATGCCCAATATAGCCAGCATGACACCCAATCTGATAAGAATGCATCAGTCACGTTTATCACAGACAAATGTATTTGACAGGTTGGCAGGTTTTGATAAAATCAGTGTATTATTGTTATTAGTATCATCATCATATTTTGATTTCTGCTATGGAAGTCTGCGGAAAGACCTAAGGCAGGTAGTGGTGTGTTGTTACAGCTAAATTTCATGATTTGTTTTCTAACTGCTATAACATCACTAGCATTTCAAAGTACTTCTTAGTGTGTGAGCTGTACTTATCAAGACAAGTTTTTTGAGTTTCTCTTAAAATGAGATTTCCAGGGATTTTTTTCACTGTGTTGTGTTCCTTTTCTTATCATTCCAAGCCAGCATTCAACGCTTAAAAAATCCTCTACCCATAATAGTGATTAGACACCGGCTCGAAAGAGAAGGGATTTAAAAAATATCCTATTTAACATTGAAGTTTTTTTTTGTTTTTTTTGAGATATCAAAGCTTTTCCTCAAATATTTTGTTTTATAAATCAACCATCGGAAAAAGAATCGCCAACATTTTCTCTATTTTATTATCTCTTCTTATTTCGTATTTATAAGAAGATATGAATAACTAAGTTCGAGTACATCTCCTCACAAACCTGCATCTTATGCCCAGGATATTCATATCCCTAGCGACGCCTCAGTACCACTAACCAGAGAGCGGCAAAAAATTAATTTAGAAACTGAATCCTTCATTTATGATTGCATATATGTAGCATGACAACGTGGAAATTTCATTATGTTCACACACGACATCCATAGATTATCTCTTCAATTTAAAAAAACATTTAAAAAGGGAACATAGCTCTACAGGGTTTATTAGCAAAGATCGTTAAATAGATAAAGTGCTTTTTAAACACATCAGAACACTTCCTTATGGTCTCCATTGGTTGCACACAACGCATCTGGAAGATGCTCAATCTGCTTAAACACGTAGGAAAAGTTCCTCATGGTCTCCATTAGTTGCACGCAACATATCTAGAAGATGCTCAATCTGTTTGCTGCAAGAAACTCTCCATAGATTTCCTGTGCTAGTCTCCACTTTACCCTATCCCTTGTAACTCTCAATAAGTTTCCTGCCTCTGACAACTCCCCCAGACCATGTTATGTCATCCACTTGCTTAAGCCCACTAGGTAGATCACGAGTTGCTTTCCCTTCTCACTTTTTCCCTCTATTCGACCTGTGAGTATCAAATTCTCCAAGCCCTCCTTTCTCATTGCGTGTCCCAGAAATTTCATCTGCCTCTTCCTGATGTGAAGTATAAGCCTCCTCCTTGTTTGCATCCTCTCCAAGACTTCATCGTTGCTCACACGCTCGCTCCATGATATCTTTAGTATCCTTCTGTAGAACCACATCTCTGCTGCCTCGAGTTTCTTCTTCAACTTTGAGGAGATCGTCTAACATTCGCTGCTGTAGAGGAGGTCAGATGTCAAGTAACAGCTCGGTACTCCTTTCTTTGTTACCAAATAAATTCTCCTGCCACGTAGTACTCTGTCCAGCTTTTGGAATGCACCCTTGGCCATCCCAAGATGTCTTCGGATCTCAACGTCGCACCTACTCTCCTCCGTCAAAATAATTCCCAGATATTTAAATTTCCGCACATGTTTAATTTTAGTGTCCGCGACCTTCATATCGCCTTTCGGGTTCACCCTTTTACTGATGACCTTGCAATTTGTCTTATGTCGTAGTTTATGGTTAGTCCTTTCTTCTCGCTCTCCCTAGCTACCTTCTGTACGAGGTTTTTTCTAATTCTCTCAGAATTGCCTCGCTGTATAAGTTGAACTAGAAGCATGGCCCGGCGTTGCCCGTGCTTGATTCAAAAATCGTACGACTCATACAGCAATCGCTATCACTTGACTTAAAATATTTTTGCCCTTCCTTGACTTTAAAGGAGTGTCCTTTACCGTGCTGATGTTGCTACATGCCTTACTTCTTGCCTCTCTCACACTACGATTTTTTTCTAAGCTCTATACTAAACATTAAATCTGTTACGAAAAAAGAACTAAACAAAATGAACACAAAACGATCAGCTTTAAAAAAGGACACGTAACTGGAAAAACCGAATGAAAAAAGAATGTTAACAACAAATAATTTTTCACGCCCAACCCAGTTCTGCGGAATCAGAATCAACGTTGAGTTTAAGCAAGCGAATGAGCCAACTGGAGTAAAGTGCCATGCAGATTTAAATTTTTCCCACTTGTGACGAGTGCAGCTATCTATTATTTTATTTGCATGCTAGCATGCTAGTTAACATTTGTGTCAGTCAGCTGTTGGCTCTCACGCTGGCCAATAGAACCTTCCTGCCTATTCGTGGAAGCCAGCGATTAGCTCTCACTCTGGCCAGTACAAAATGGCCGCAAACTATATAGAAACTGCCGTAGAAGCATGAAAAAACCGATTACTTCCACTATCGATGGGACTTGGGAAATGCAAAATCGGTCTTGGCTTTTCCACTAACTTGGAGCATGTGCAATGTAAATTTTGATGCAAATGCATCGAAAATTGCGGCCGTGCATTCGTTACACACCCACCCACACATCCTGCCTTTTATAGATAGAGTTAAGTCCGGTGAGAAGGTATATCTTTGCCTTACGCCCCTTTCTGTTTTTGTATATTCGCTGAACTCATTCCCAATGTGTATGCATGCCGTTTGATGCCAGTTTAGGTTCTTGATTATTCTAATATCTTTCCCGAATATATCAGGGTTGTTGAGGAATCCCAGCAGATTCTTGTGGCATACTTTCTCGGACGTCTTTGCGTAGTCAATGAAACATCGGTACACGTCCTTCTGCATTTGTATCGCTCTTTCTGTTGACATTTTAAGCATGAATATCGAGTTCCTTGTTCCGGTTTCATTAACGAACCCACGCTGTTCTTTTCCTCCCGCTGTCCCGATTCTGCGGCACGCTCTATCCGTCAGGTTTTTTTTTTTTTTGGTGGGGGGGGGGAGGTTATACTTTGTCTTGTAATTCCGCAGAACGTGTGTGTCCGATTTGCTCTCTATAAAGGAGGATACACATTGCGCTGAATATGAGTGAATATAAGGTAGACCCAGAAAGAAATTTCTATCATTGGAACCTAAATTTTATATCCTGCAATTTTTAAGGCTGTATTTCTGGGCACAACTTTCTTTGCCAAAAAAAAACAAACAGATGCTACAAGGTGGAAAATGGTTTCTACCCTGTTGACTGGTTACACATGTAAGTGTTATTCATACACAGATCATTTCGAATATGTCTTACGAATTATTCGAACATTATAAGGACGATTTATAATGTTTACTAGTTGAGGTGATGTTTCTCGATTGTACAATATAATCTGTAATTACTTTATATTCATGTAGATCAGAATATCAGCTAAAAACAGCTTTCAAGCGACACTGACTATTTGAAAATTGACATTACTTGGACTGTTCTAGATCACTGAATCTCAATCAAGTGAGAACAACCCATAGTAAATTGTAAGGAATACAGGAAATTTGTTTAATGTAACCATTTAAACAT